ACTTGTTACTCCCAGCTTACTCAGGTCAGCACACACGATGTCAAACATTCCATTTTTCTGGAACTCTCCAAACTCCTCAACGTGTCTTTGGAGTTGATGCGTGGGAAACAAAGCCTACACTTCACTGCCCTGTCCACCATAAACAGAATCATGGATATATGTATAGTTCATAAGAACTATGAGTTTGGATCGCCATCAAGCAAACAAGATGGCGAAGAATCGCACATCCCTGCCACGGCTCAGGAGTTCGGCGGCGGTAAAGTCGTGGGAGGACATACTAGGTCTTCCGTTAAGGAAACGAACAGCGGAAGAGATGGACATCCTGTGAGATTTCAAAGCCATGCACATCCACACACTGGATTAAGTTGTAGGTTCAGTAGCTCCGACGAGTCTTCCACTGCTGCTAGTTTTCTGACGCCCTCATCCAAGGGACTCACCGTCACTCACACGCCTTTATCTGCAACGTCTTCATCATCGCCATCCTGCATAATCCCGGGTAGTTCAGTTCCATCCGGATCCGCAACATCCACTGGATCCACATCCATTTCGTACTCTGCCACTTTGAACAGAATATCCTCACTCCATAAACGCCGAGCAAGTCAAGTCCATAACGAGCACCAACAACAACCGACGTGTGGATCCGACGACGACGATTCTTCGAAGCAAGGAACCACCATCATCCGAACTCCTCTGGAAATATTATTATCTTTGGATCCTAGCCAGATTGTTTCATGTTTGCATAATAACATCACCATGCACAAGCGTATCATCGGTACTAGACAGAAGTGCACCCCGAGTGTGAGACAGCGGCACTGTACTCACCATTGTCTGCAGATACTCAGTGCTCGTGTCTTGACTCTTATGTGTCATAGTGCTAACGTCCAACATAAGCTGGTGACCAGAGGCCATCTCAAGATGCTAGTCGAAGCGTTGGATCCTAACCATGATCCTGTAAGTGTCATTATTGTGATATTTTTTTCTCATTTGTTTGATGTTACTGTTTATTCTATCTGAGTGTTTAGTTTCCATGTTACATAGTTCTGTTGCTTCTGTTTTTGTGAGTGTTCATATTCTGTTTATATAATTGAGCATCTTCGAAGGTACACGAGGATTCACGTTGCATGCTTGGATATTTTCTGTTTCTAATGTGTTTTATATCTCCACTTTATCTTTTGTGTCCCCCTCCCTCCACCACTCCCCCTCCGTTTCACTATCTATCTCTATCGTTTTTTCTTTATTGTTCTCTTTCTTCTCGTTCTCTTCTTTATATTCACAGTAGCTCTCTTTCTGTCTCTCTATCTCTCTTCCCTCTCTATTTTTTTTTTACTTCTTCTTCTTTCTCTAGATCTCTCCCTCCCTCTAGTCAGAGACTATTCTCATTCATTTAATCAGTTTAGTTCATTTCTCATATCTTAATTAATGCTATTTTGCAATCTCTTCTCTATGTTTCCTTTGTTTATATCGCTCAGTGTTTACTGTTCTACATTCTGTTCTTTGTTTATGTCATCCCACGTGCCATTCACCGATTTTCCTTGTTTATATAATTGTCCATCAACTTTCGCCGTGGTTCCTTTTCTTCTCCTATCTGTTATATCTCTCAGTTCAAAATACAGTAAACCCTCGTTAGAAGAAACCTAAGTGGACCGAAAAAAAGTAGTTCGCGTTAACCGAAATTTCTGCTAACCGGGGACTCAGATTTCAGTGTTGCAACCGATAAAAACATATAAGCCGCCTTCAGGCTAAAGCAGTGGTCTCCAACTGTTTTCAGGTCGCGCCTCCCTGTATATGGCAAGACCTCAACGCCCCCTCCCTCCTTGAGTATATGGCAAGACCTCAACGCCCCCCTCCCTCCTTGAGTATATGGCAAGACCTCAACGCCTCCCTCCCTCCTTGAGTATATGGCAAGACCGCCAAATCCCCTTGAGGATATTGCTAGACTCACCCCCCCCCCCCGCTCTCCCCACGCCGAACATTACAAAACGTGATTTAAAAGAGGCGAAATCTCCTCGCGCCACACTATGAGTTCGCTTCCCTCAGCTTGAAGACCACTGCACTTGAGTTTGGCTGTAGTGTTCCACTGGTGTCTTTAGGAATGTTGTTCGTCTATCACGAGTGTTGAAAACCACTTTCATCCAGAGTAGTAATAATCAATGATTATGAGTACGAAGTTGGCTGATTAGTCCAATATAAGCCTGGAAAGTTCTTGAGCAGCGCGGACAACAGATGGAAGCGGCAGTAAGTGTGGGATTAGCAGTACGATTCTTTTCTAGTCTGCTTCCGTTTCTCTGCATGTGCAATCTCCGCTGCCTGGCAGGCCAATGCACCATGCCTGAGTCATGTACGCCACCCAGAACGGTCTTGTGCAACAGCCTCCCACGTCGCTGTGATGATGCCAACAGAATTTAGAGCAGTCTTGAGAGTGTCCTGACGGCGCTTTTTCTGTCCTCCCGGGGTCCCCTTCCCTTGCTGGAGTTAGCCATAAAATACTCCACTTGGAAGGCGATAGTCTGGCATGCGGGTTAGGTGACCAGCCCAACGCAGCTGATAATTCTTAAGTATCGTGTGGATGTGAGGCAGGTTTGCCGTAATAAGAACGACAGTTTTCGGGATTTTATCTTGCCATTTGATGTTGAGCAGCTTTCTGGGACAAGCCACATGAAACTGATTCAACGTTTTAGCAAGGCGCTGATACACAGTCCACGTTTCGCGGGCGTAGAGCAGTACTGTGTGAATTACAGCTTTGAAAACCTCTAGCCTGGTCATCAGGGAGATACCACATCTGTTCCAGACACTGATAAAAAGTCTTCCGAAACTGCTGCAGACCTTTGTGATTCTAACGTTGATCTTATTGTCGATGTTGACTATTTTAGATAGGGTACTGCCAAAATAAGTGAATTGTCGAATACATTTTGATCATTTAGGGCGATAGTTAGATTTTAGTAATTTGTTTTCTAAGAGCCGGTTAATAAATAAAACGTCAGTTTCTTCAGTGTTGATAGTGAGCCCGAAGTTGGTATTCGTTTTAGAAAATCTATTGATAATGTGCTTCATACTGGCCTCAGAAGTGGAGTTAGAGTGCAGTCGTCAGCAAATCAAAGGTCTCTAATTGTAGTTGTTTTAGGATTTGTTTAAGCTTGAAATCTTCTCCTTCTGTACGGTAATTACGTGGTGAAGTTCCAATCACTTCCAAAATGTTAATTTCGAACTATCAGTTTCGTCTATGTTGTACACATCAAACGAGGCATACTTTTCTTTTCTCTCACGGTCACATACATGCAACCAACTGTTTGCTTCTTCTTCGTCACCTCTCCATGCTTCACCACAGATCACTAATGGTGAAACTGAATGTTTCGTCTGGAGTGGATAAGTACAACCAGCGGGAACACTGAAATCTTGAATGCTCAATTTTTGGCGGTCTCCATTGCTTTTGACTAAATTATAGGTCCGCTGAAAGGTAGACTGGAAGCGCGCATTTGGTTGAAACAATATAGAAGTAACATAATCTAGTAATGTTTCGATATCTTCATACTAAGTACTGGAATTTGTTCGCAGAACCTAATGAAGCAGCGTTGTGAATTATGTTTAATGAAGTTTTGCAGCTTAGAAAGACTTGCCAATTCAACACTGTTAAGTAATCGTCGCATTCTTCATTTGACCATGTCTACTTCCTCTACGATTTTAAATTTTGTTTGCATACCAACACCTGTCTGCTTCCTCTTGCATGACTCCCGTCTTGCAGATTGTAATCATGATGTTGCTCATTCTTGCTAAGTTTTAGAGAATATAAAAAAGGAAAGTAACCATTTCTCATATAAAATTACCGTACTGTAATTTCAGCGCATTTCTGAAATCTGATGGTTGAAATATAACCTGATTGTTGACACGATGACCGCAGTTGTCGAGCGATTGCACTCATCAGTCTTTATTTTTTTTTGTTTTTAATGTATAAGTTTAAGCACCCATATAATATGAATTCGACAGTGCTTTACACGGAACATTATTTCTTACATACCTAGCAGAGGAACAACAGACAAGAAACATTATGAACAGCTTTGGGAGTTTGGATTAAATTAGGTCTAGTGGCTAAATAGACTTTCAAAAATATTTCAAAATGTTCGCAATTTTTTGTAACAGAAAATTCATCATCATTAACAATAATTTCCAGATCTGCAGTTAAGCGTTGTGGGGAGGAACAGCTTGCGATTCATTGCTAATTTAAGTTAAAGAGTAAAGGACCATTTTCTACGCCATTAGGCGTATAGGGCATATAGGGCTAGACCTGTATTTTTATAGACCATTCGGCACACGATGGGTGATGTGGTCAGCATGACACCGGCTGCCTTTACTTCCCAGGGCTGCACCCGGTACCCACTCAAGGCTGGGTCGACCTGGGAGTCAAGGTGATATTTGAAAAAAGTCCGGCTCCACCAGGGAGCGAACCCACGACCTTCCGCACGTCTAGCCGCTCGGTTACAGCGACTCCCATTGCTAATACAGTTAACATAAAATGTCGTTAATTGGTCAAACTTTCTACAAGAAATAGTACATGGATTTAAGTCAGTAACGCAAAGCGCGCTTTTCCCCGCCATCTGCAGTATCGGGCATATAGGATTAGACCTATATTTTATAGACCAATCAACACTTAATGAGAGATGTTTGGAACATCACGCCGGTCGTCTTTACTTCCTATGACGTTACCTGTACCCATTTAAGGTTGGATCAACGTGGAAACCTCGGTTATTTTTTATAGGAAAAAAAAGGTCCGGCTCCGTCAAGACCTAAACCCATAACCTTCGGATCCACAGGCGAGCTCCAAAATATATCCGTGCTGGGACCACACAGTGTTGGAATATGTTTCCTAAGTGAGTTCGTATTAACGATGATTTACTATAATTTTACAGAATTAACTAGACATCGGTAAACAGTGTAAATAAAGATCCATTTTCACGCCTTAGGCTCATCGTTCATATGGGAACATCATCTCATATTTTTAGAGACCAATCGGCATTAGGTGGGTAATATGGTCAAGCATTACGCCAGCCGTCTTTACTTCCCTAGAACAGCCATTCTGGTGCCTATTTTAGGCTAGGTCGATCTGCGACGCCCCATACCATGATAAAAATTTACACAGCCAGCAGTGGGTTTCGATCGCGGTACGTTGGAATTACGAGACTGACTCGCAACGCTCAAGCCAAAAACGCCGCTAGTAGAACTCAACATTCACAGCCAAATATCGTTTGACGCTTTATTGCGTATTGGCATTTTTTGCGGTGATATTTTTATCTCATTCTCTACACTTCAATTAGCCCACGTGTTTACTGTTTATTCTTTACAAGAATAGGGGGTGGCGGTAACGCAATGGCTAACGATTAGCAAGTAAGTAAATTTTACCCCACCACGACATCACGCAGTGATAAACACCCGGTGATACAAAGTACTACCATGCTGATGATGATTACCCCTAGAGAGGTCCCAAACCCGTCTTCAGCCGTTAGGTTATATTGCAGTGCCTGGCAACAGCTAGGGTAGGGTTTCAAAATAACCAAAAAATGCATCTCACCAGGGAAATGGCAAAAAATATATATGGCTGGAGATTTCTTGCCAGCCCGAACCGTTTGGCTTAGAGGCCTTGTCTAAGAGTATTTGTAAAATTTCCCCAAGGCATGCAAGATCTACCCATAATAAAATGGGTACAAGGAAATGTCGTGGGAAGTAAAAGCAGCCATCACGATGTTGACAACATCAATCATAGAATGCCGAGTGATTTATTTAAAAAAAAAGAATCAGTGTTTAGCTTCATATGTTTGTGTTCCAAGGGTTCTTTACTTTCCAAGATATTCGTGAAAATGTTTTTCATGTATCAATTTCTCCAGTTTAGTCGTTGAATTAAATTGAAGGGGGAGGGGAGGGGTTGTAAGCAAAGGTGAAACACTTGCCCTTATAATTGATGG